AGTGTATTCTATTCCTTATGCAATGTATATAATTAAATTGATCGATATTCAGAAAAAACTCCCCAGCACACTAGCCTGGTTGAACCACTCTGCTACTATGTAGCCAGAAAACAGTGGTGAACTTCAGGCCAACAGTAATGGCGTGTGATTTTGTTCCTGAAGAAAAAAAAAAAAACGCAGACTGAACTAATGTCAAACCTTGTACCAAGAAGAAAACATAAGCAAAACATCAATACAGATGCGTGTCACACTTCCTCTCTAGTTCTATTACACAATTATTTAAACTAACCTCTGCAAGATCTAAGCACTTTGTAGAATCTGAAGTTAGTGGTGATTATCTGCTTTTTTTCCTACCATGCCTCAGTCTCCCAAAGGTATGCAAGTCTTATATATTACAAAGTAGTACTAAGAAACTGGGAAAACTAAGGGTACAGGTCCTAATACATAATTTCTCAATTACACAGCAAAGACTGAAGAACAAGATAGTATCTTATTTTGAAAGATAAATCCTTATTAATTAATTACAAGCATACAGGTAGATTTTCAGACATGCACATCCCAGTTGGTATAAACTGTCATTATTATGTATGATGACTATACACAAACTGCCCTTTGCGTATGTAACTCCCTGATTTCCAGAGCTGTCGCAGAGCACAGATTTTCACAAGCATTGCATATATATTTTTGCTATATACACCTATTCAAATCCCTTTTCTAAATGAGAAAACTGCTACAAGTATCTACATCCGCTACAAGTATGCTACAACAGAAGAATTGAATAAACATCCTGGGTTGAACACTGACATTACATCCATAACAGGCAAGAGCTCACCAGTTGAGGTTCTTCAACTTCTTTTTACATACTGAACAGGTAACTATGGCACTCTAGTGAACAGCAGATAAAGAAAAACCATAACCACATCAGGCAGAAAACTGCAGGTCAATCACAGCATCCAAGACTCAGCCCAGCGGTGGTCCTGTCTCCATGGCCAAGGTTCCTCTTTCAGCACAACGTAAGCAATCATAGCACGGTCAGAAAATACCTCCCTTCTACGAGGATAACCATTCGTGGATCTTTAAGGAGCTGCCAGAGCAAATTGGCAACAAGTCTGGTGGTAAAATATCAGAGGAGCACAAGAGCATACCAAAGGTCAGGTTTCTAAAGTTCATTTTATGCAGCAGACTTCGCATCATATGTTTACTGCTATTTAAGTAAATACACCGAACAATACTACATTATGAAAATTAGGGCATCGTAATGGTTTTTATAACATCTCCAGATCTCTGCGTCCTCAGCTTTAACAAATATATTCAGATGCAGTCAGTATTTAAAATGACTGAATTGAGCTCTTGATACTTAACTGTCTAAAACATATGCACATAGACCAAATTCAGTACCTAGAGAGCAATGACTGCAGAAAAGAAGAAAAAAAGAGCAACTCCATCCTACGCTTGGTAAAATTAATTGCTCTTTGCAGATACTTATCTCCCTCCATTGGTTAGATGAGGAGTCTGGATTACCAGATTGTATTAGAAACCAACCTTTTAGACAGCTAAACTTAACTGAGATTAATCCCCCCAAACAGTTATTTCATATTAATATGAAAAACAGTAATCGTTTTCATGGATAAGAAAAAGCTGAAGCAATCTATCCATACAACTATATCACATAAAATAAGAGATATAATCAAAAGTACTCTACAGTCCAACTTGAACATAAATAGTATAGGCTCTATCTCCAGGTTTCAGCTGGTTTCCAGGCAGCATCCATTTTTTACAAGACAGAGCTAACACTCCATCACTTGCAAGGTATCCAGGAAACATCATACTGATAGCATCACATATTTTTTCTTCCAAGCATTGTTGAAAAACTCATGATACAAAGTAAATAAAATTCAGAAATATACCCATTCCATAATTATTTAATTCTTAGTAAAATAAGTATTGACTGTTTTCTGAAAATATATGTTTTTATCTAAGGTGTACTGTGAGATTGTGTTTTTAATTTGGTTAAATGAATAATACAGAAGACTAAGTCTGAATCAAATCAATCTTCATAGATTTACTTTTTTTTTTTTTAAAGAGTAATTACTACAAGTTTCTTTTGTACTTCATCAGTTTGGTAACACATGGAGAATATTACTTGGAACAAAATACAAATACCATATTAAATATTTTAATCAGCTAGAAAAACCAAAATACTGTTTCACTTAAAAGAAAAACACACAGCATAAACACCTACTTTTTCATGAAGTAGGATAAAAAAATCCCTGGTGCATGAAAGACAGAAAGTTACTTATTCAGATCCTGGGACTCATACTATTGATTCTCAAGTGCACATTCTACAAATAAATATAGACCAATAACTAATATTTTCCTCTGAAATGAGGAGGGAGGTCTGTCTCATTAAAAATTAAAACCAGATGCAAACTGAAGTGAGAAAAAAAAAATCAATAGCTCACACCATCAGATGCCTACAAGAAACTACAGAATATGTAATACAGGGATACAGTTTAAAAAATTCAACTGTTCTGAAAAGGCAGTATTCACACACTCGGTGAAACCGGCAAGAAATAATACATGTTCCATGTACTTAATTTACTGATTATTTTCGTATGAAAGCAAACACATTGCGTTGATATCTATACGGAAAGCTATAAAGAGCCATCAACTAGTCCTGTAAAAAGGATCATATCTTATCAGCTTCACCACTGTAGTCAACTGATAAACGCTTGCCAAAAATAGATCCAGGCACTATCCACACGCTATTCTCAAGAGGATCATGCACGAGTCCACTTCCCAGACTGCTCTGATACATTTCCCAATTTTTAGCTTCCAGGACAAGTGGCTATGCTTTTTTGCCCAGATATGACCTGTGTGTTTATATTTGCAGCCCATGCATAAAATATGGACATGAACATTAGGGAAGGCAAAACTATTTATGGTAAGAACAGTAGTGGCAATAAACAAGACAGGAAACAGATTATGGACTCATTAAATTCCCTTAGATTTACAGCCTCTACAATCCTACAGGGAGGCTTTTCCATAACTGCTCAGCTCTAATGGTTGGAACCGTTCACCAGACTGAAAGCTTACACCCATCTAGTCTTGTCTCAAGACTGTCTTTTACCTTAAACAGCTTTCCTCCAAAGTGTATTCTTATCATATATTTATAAACAACAATCTTTTCTGCTCTCAGTCACTCTCTTGCAAAATTAAATATACCACATCCTTTTATTATCTCCTAAAGGCTCCTCATGCTTCAGTCGGCCTTAATACCATTTGCCATGCAAAGCCCTGTTTGAGCCTGTCTTAAATGTGCATTAACAAAATTCTACAAAACTATCCAGAGCCGTGAGAATGGCATCGATGCTTCCTTCTTCTTTTCATTAGGACTGCATAGGTCACTTACACGACCACATGCCACTCCTGACTTGGACACACAAGCCACTGTCGTTTCCTTCAGTTTGGAGGAGAAAATCCTTACCATTCCCTAAGTGCATGACTTGCACCTTGTTCCATTAAACATCACCTCATGTTGACTGTCATTTCCAGCCATCTCATTCTGCCTGAATGACAGTCCAGCCTCCTCCCAACCAGTTGTCACCCAAGTTCCCTGGGGTTCTTTTGTTATTATTCACTCCTACTTTTCAACTGCAGTAACTGGGAATGAAATCTGTATTTTGACATTTGTACTGCATACTAGCAGGCTTTAGTGCTTCAAAAGCAAACTCTTTTTTTAGTACCATCCTCCTAAGACTACCTTCTGTCCCATGAAATTAAGCACAAATAGCGTAGCCATGTTCATTGTGCTGATGTCCATGGAAACAGTTTACCCTTAACATAATGATGCAAAAGTATTCCATAATCTCTTATTGCCCTGATTTATTTAATGTAGTTATCCCATTAGTCAATACGAGAGAGTATCCCCTAAAATTTTCCTCCCACTCAGCCAGACGGCTTCTGCTAGACTGCAGGTGGTATATTGCTCCATGTGAAACAGACATATACCGAGGCAGTTATCCTGATCAAGTAATGTATTTCAGTCTCAAAGGCAGGAAATCTTTTAATTAATACTCTGATCTGAAATGCATAGGAAGAGGCAGGAGGGGGGAGGACAACTTGTCAGAGGAAGATATCCAGCAAAATCCAGGCATCTCAGCTATCAGCCCCAACCTGTGTCTACTCAGCTACAACCAGCTATCTACCACAATCAGTCTCCCAAGAGGTTGTTTCTCAATGCTCTGCTTCTTGTGGCATGGACTTCCTATGTTTCCAAATTGCTCTTCAGCTTGTGGCATCTCCACCTTTCTCAGTTTCCTGAGCATCACCACCTGACTACACCTGCCCCACCTGTCAGACTGCTGCCTACCTTGGCTTCTCCACTCCCTGATTTTCAAGTCCGCCCCATTGTGGTGCCTTGATATAAACCCTGAGCAATGCATTTTCCAAACCTTCTTAGGAACCTCTGAAGTGTTACTTACGGGGAAATGTTTGGGTTTCGGTGTGCTCTTGATTTACTCACCACACCTAGCTCCCCAAGATGATCTTAATGACGGTGTTTTTTTTGTGTTCGGTTTTTTGTTTGTTTGTTTTTAAATTCCAGCATCATATTTTATTAGTACTATGTAGGTATTCAATATGAAAAATAGAGCAACAACTCTGTTCAACACACTTTCATAACATCAAAATTCACCAACTCTTGCAACTCATTTAGTAACATACCTGCTATTCATATCATAAGATAGTATTAGGCACATTTTTGAAAACTTTTAGCTATGAATGAAATGAAAATCATTTTAGCTACTATGCTTTGTTGCACAAACCAAAAACTTAAGGCTATTATGGAACAAAAGCCTGGGTTTAATTTTACAATATAATTTATAAATAAATTGAAGGTGTTTGGGATCAAGACGTTGAAGAATCACTCTAGCTGGACTTGAGAAAGCAACACTGTGGTATTTAAACCTCAAATGAGAAAAATACGATACAATACATACCTATATCATACGCAAGAAAGTCAGCAGAAAAACATTTTGCACCATTACTGAGGGAAGTATCATTATGAGTGTTTCCACCAAAAATGAGCATAGCTCCATTGATTAAGACAGCTGAATGAAGATATCTTGCCAAACCACTCTCTTTCAAAATAGTCCTACAAAATATAAGAACAAATTAATACATACTAACATGTGAAAAACTGTATACACACATCAAGAAAATGTATAGATTAAATACATATTAAATACAAGGAAAACACTAAACTAAAGCTATTAGTAAGTATGATGAAATGTATTCAGATTGTTTCTAAGATTATGAATTTTCTCATGTTACAATAAATATATTTAGCATTCATTTAAAATGTCATGCTTTTTTTGTTAAAAAACAGTTTGTCAAATAACGTATCTGAAATAAATTGTATCATGTTTACATTCTTCAGAAGTTATTAATGATATGGTAAATTTTACTCAAAACTGATTGAAAACTCATTCATATTATTAATTCTTATTCTTATATATCCATAGCCATGTCAGTCTTTTGCTCAAGAAATGCAATAAAAAATTCTTTAGAAGGTTAGAAGAATCCTTAGACCATCCTAAGTATTGGAAAAGGAGAAACTTTTTTTTTTTTAAAAAAATTAATTGAACACTCAGACCTGGAAAGGAAGTGGTAGAAGTCATTCTAGATATGATGAAAAATACTTGCACTGCTTCATAAATATATTCAGGCTGGCAAACTCAAACATACAGAATTTCACTACTGAAAAAAAAAAAAGTCCACGCACATTGAGTCTTTGATCTCTCTTCATTCATTTTAGCCTGTGTCTGCACGGTCTGCTTTCTGCCAGAGCAGTAACGTGGGCTCAACAGTAGCCAAGAACTATCAATACTACAGTTTTTAAGTGGCAGGTGTGGGGCTAGTAGAAAGAACAGAATACAAACTTGATTCAATCACAGCAAATAAATCTTACCAAGGGAGAGAGTAACCATTTGTGGGTTTTGCCAACTTGAATTAGTTAAGTACATCAGCTGTAGACACGTTTGTGAAGAGCTGATTAGATCACCAGTACAGAATATTATTTACATTCCCCTATTAACCTTTTATTAGTCTCAGTAATGTAATAGTTTTCAAGTTTAGACTCTCACTTTCACTTGTGTTACTGCACGCTGCTCACACCTACAATTAAACTGCTTTGTCATTTGTTTCCTGTAACGAACATATTGACTTGACAATTTTTCTTTCTGATTGAATAATACTGTCTCTCTTGAATCACACTGATAACATTTGTTCAATATTTTTACATCATCATAGGGTTTGGGGGAGAGGGTTTAAAGTACGTCTCATTGTTTTGACATAATTACGTAAATCAATCAATAAACTCAAGATACTTTTTAAGTGATAAGAGATCATATGTTTAAACAAGCTGAGAGGAAGGCACTAAACTTAAGCTCTCATGCTGTCATTTAAATAGATTCCCTCCTACCACTACAGAGTAACATCAAAGGAAATACCAAAGACTGAATGAAGGTAAATATTTTTATTGCGTAAAAAAGCAGTAATTCCTTCAAGTCACCAGCACACCCACAAACATGCTTCTGCTTTTAACCCTTTTTTTTCTGTTAAGTGACTTGCATTTTTGTTTTGTATTTCTGATTAATATACTTTGAAAATAGAGCACCATGTAAGTGTGTTTTTCTAACTACAAATTAGTCTGATACAGAATATTTACAGTACCTTCCCAGAAAAACGTGATATTTGGTTTCAGCTCATCAGTTAGCAACATACAAAATTAGGAATGACAAGGAAATAGAACAAGACATTATTTTTAACAGTTATTTTCAACTAATAATGGAAGAATACTGCTGCTATGAGTTGAAAGAATTATAATATACCACAAATATGTTGTCCTCATCCACTCGGACCATAGATTTCTTTTTATCTTTCACTTTACCAGTTTTCTACATCTCCTACCTCCTAATTTACATTAATTGCTATACACTAGGCTCCATCTTCATTATCATGCCTCACAGCTATCTACAAATAGTTCTCTTGACCACTAAAGGCCTAAAGAGCTGTACAGTGTTCTGAGTAAAACTAAGGACTCTCTCCTCTCTACAGTGGATATAACAGCAGTCCCCACAGGTTTTTTTTGGGCTACTCACTTTTCTATTTGTCACTCAACTGCATTGCCCCAGCCCCGGTTCGCACATTGTACAGCGTTTTTTCCCCCAATTTTTGCATATTGTGTGCTGAGTTTCATCCCTCCTGGTAACAGCAACTTTTCCCCAAGATTCAGCAGAAATGGAAGTGCATTACAGACCCAGTTTGGTAATTTGGCCATGATCTTCATTATTCATTAGCATTACTGATGAGAACAATTTTCAGAACTCTCCAACACCTATCAACCCCATGCAAATTATGTGAGATTCTCAGCATCCTTTACACTGAATTCACTATTTACACGCCTATACATGTACCTGCAAACATTAGTCCATATTAACCACATCAATGCCAGGTGTTGCATACAACAGCATGATATTATAACAGTAATAAAAATACCCAGGAGCCAGTAGATGCTTCCGTTGTTTCAGGCCATTATCTAAGCCCAGCACCACATCGTCCCCCAACTGACAACTGCAGCGGTATGTAACTAATGCAAAGCAATGCAGATATCAGAAACACTGTAATTCTCCCCATCATGTATTAGAAATAATGTTCACACTAGAAATTAAAGTATCATCCCCTCACATTCCAAGAAACAAAGCTTATGCCTAATTGATATGAAGAAATGAAAACCCACGTGCCACTGAATAAAACAAGTAACCAGCTTTGTATACAAAGACATGCTTATTGAAGCATATGAACCTCAGCCAGATCAGACAGAGAAACAGAGAGCGAGTGCAAGAGAAAAACAGACAGTGAGGAAAAGCAAACGCGAGTGTGAAAAAAGCCACGTACATGGGCATGAGAAAGCCGTTGTGGTTCCACCTCTTCCTCATACCCCACCTAGCCAGCGGCATGTTCAGGCTCAGTTGCCTCACTAAGTGCTTTGAATACTGATTATAAGATGTCACAGATGATACAGTAAACAAAGATTTTATTACTATGTAAGTGTCACTACCCCATCCTCTCAGCCAGTTTTCAAGTCCCTTAGTACAACTGACTTCCATTGTAATACTCAAGAAACAAACAAAAGAGTTGTCTACCAGCTGCAGAGAATGCTACATTTGTATAGACATAAACATCCGTTATTAGTTAATGAATAAAAATATTCCAATAACTATTACTATATTGTTGAACAGATTATCAAAGGACACAATATCACTTTCTTCCAAGAACAGAGTATAATAAGAGACCATTAAAATTCCAGCAATTTAAAAAAAACATTAAAAGGGACTAAAAAAATCTTGTAATAATGTTTCCAAGTGCCATGAGTTAGCGGCACTCAAAATCAAGACCCTCAGTGAAATGAATCCCACATGTCTTGTGTGCTTAAAGTTAAGCCATTACGGCTCATACAAATATTAAATTGCAAGAATAAAAATCTTCCTAGAAATAGTTCTTGATCTCAAATCATCTCTAAGGTAAGAAAAAACATTTGAGGTCACTTTCTATACATAACATATAAACAGCATTCATAAGCTACAATAAACTTGGGGGACAAGGAACTGACAAAAATAGAAACACCAAGATTAATAATTAAGGATCCCTATACAACACCAGGATTCTTCTCTCTTATTTCTGATAGTTTTGTGAAAAATAACCTTACGCAGTTCTTAGATTTCTCTGCTTATTTATATAACAGGTATTTGAATGTGCATCAGTAGTATATTCATACCATGTCAAAACAGTACACATGTACTATTTCTGCATAATGGTTATGTCTGGATAAAGGAACCTTTTCTCAATTTGTAGAACATGTGCAAAGTTTTCTCCCTGACATTCCTTCGATGTGTAGCTCCACTAATTCACTGGCTAAAGTCTAATCCCTCAACAATTCTTCCATTTTGTTGCAGAGAATGTACTGCTCTGCAACATGCAAAGGATATGGAGGTGCCTAGGTGACTTTACTAGAACCTTACTCTACACTCATGTTTTCTTTTTCAGTAAGAAATAACGTCGTTTCCTACATTATAGATCCCACTTACCATGTCCGAGTATTAACTTCATATCTGTAAAGATCATCTACCAATCCATATTTATTGCCAGGTAATGCTTTGTATCCACCATGGACATAAATAGATTTTGTCAGTTCATCATAGACACTAGTATGGCCATATCCACCTTGCACAATTGCTCCTTTTGTTTCTGGTACAAGCCAAGAATTAGACCCTGGAACAGACATACAAAAGCAGAGGTTAAAGGTTTACTATTTCTAACCCACAATATTAGGAGTTTTAAGTATATAAAATCATTTTCACTACAATTCTAAATACAGCAATAACCAGGGACTTGTTTTAAGAAGTCATTTTATATCAATGTATCAAAATATTCGCAGTTGGATAATGTTATTAGACCATTATCTGCTATTCTTGATTAAATCACAAACACATTGTTGTTACAGGTGCACGCAGTATCTCATATTCTCCCATGTGTGAGTTCAGCACACACACAAACAGCCCGCCTCCCACCCCCCAAAAAAGCCCAAACCTTTCGGAAAATATGAAATTAAGAGTTACAATTAATTCTCTCTCAACCATTACTTTGTCCCACCAGATATGGCTGATGAGAATTCAGTGCTCCAGCTACTTCAGCTGCATTAGGAACACCTGTGCCCAATCACCAGGAAACCGTCTGGAGAAGCCTGGCAGAAACTGAACTGCTGCAGGTTGAGAGACGCATGCAACGTAAGGTAGCTCAAAGTACTCATGGATAGAGACAGACATTTTGCTAGTAAACTGTACAATTATTGAGCTAAAAATCAGTTTCTAACTACTGTTTCTTACTTATTTAACTGTAAATATGCCTATTTATTTGCTGAAAACTCACAGAAGGATAATTTGATAGCAGCTCATTAAACTGGCACTTAAATCCACATTTTATATCACATCATTAATAACTGCAAAGAGACACCAAATAAAATCATACACAATAGCTGTTATGACTGAAGAATAAAACACAATTGGAAAATATTTTACCATAGTAATAAAAAAAAGACAGAAAGGTTAAGTGACTTCTTGTTGCCTGTGGCACTGAAATTTCCATTTTTTTCCCTTCCATCTTCACAGCTGATGACATAAGTCACAAAAAGAGCAACCCAGGAGGTAAGTATTTCCTGTAGAAGCCAACCTATTCAAAACAGCCTATGATGATTAGGCAGCCAGTTCCTCAGGTGTGAAATGGAAGAAATAATTCACTTGCAGTCTTTTGAAGATTGTGCCAGAAGAATGAAGGGTGGACAAGGACTTCCAAATTGGAGCAGGCTCCTAATTCTTAACCTAATTTGGCTGCCATTATAAAGTTATTTATCCAAGGCTAGCACACAACACCATACACCTTGCTTCATCTGAAAGTTAGTTTAAATCCCATTTCAATTTTTATCTGATATTATGTATGTACTTTAAGATTACCTCTTTTCCTCCAGATTCTTCTGTTCAGTGGTGAGACTCATGACTTCCAGTTATTACTGTTGCTATTCTACTTTCATTAAATGGTTTCTAGGCACTGCTTCCATAAGCTAGTTACATTTTTTTCAGTAACAAGTGCTTATAGCAAGTTATAAAGTATAGATTAAACTGGAAGATTTGTGTTGATTTGCGTGTATGAATGCTGATATTTGTGTAATACACTACTTGATACTACTACTACTTCACCACCTTTGCTGCCCTTCTCTAGACATGCTCCAGCACCTCAAGGTCTCTCTTGTAGTGAGGGGCCCAGAACTGAACACAGCACTCAAGGTGCGGCCTCACCAGTGCCGAGTACAGGGGGACGATCACTGCCCTGGTCCTGCTGGCCACACTACTTCTGATACAAGCTAGGATGCTGTTGGTCTTCTTGGCCACCTGGGTACACTGCTGGTTCATATTTAGCCGGCTGTCGACCAACACCCCAGGTCCTTTTCCACCAGGCGGCTTTCCAGCCACTCTTCCCCAAGCCTGTAGCGTTGCATGGGGTTGTTGTGACCCAAGTGCAGGACCCAGCCACTTGGCCTTGTAGAACCTCACACAATTGGCCTGAGCCTATCGATGCAGCCTGCTCAGATCCCTCTGCAGAGTCTTCCTACCCTCAAGCAAATCAACACTCCTGTCCAACTTGGTGTTGTCTGCAAACTTACTGAGGGTGCACTCAATCCTCGTGTCCAGATCACTGATAAATGTATTAAACAGCATATTAAACAATATTTTGCATATATATTACCTTGCTAACAAATATATTTACTTGATACAATTTATGTAAGAGGGCTCATGAGGAATCAGCCTGCAGATACACCTTTCTATCACCAACACCATTCTCAATTTTTCATTTAAAGTCCTAAAGATTGTCATATACGCTTTTCAGGGAAAAATTACTATTTCTTCACATAAATTTACACAATGGTGTTGATCATATGCATAATAGAATATTTTGCATTTATATCCAACTGGTTTATGTAGCATTTAGAACACCGTCACGGTAAAACTGCATAATGCATAGCTTTACACGACTTGCACAGAAATATGAATAGCTGTTCCTTCTTGTGTAATAAAAACCATGTGCTATGGAAAACTACCTGAATTTGAGAAAAGAGGTCCAGAAACATCTTTCTGAAATAGAAGTCAAAAGCAGTATTACAGTTTCTCCTTCTATTTCCCATTCTAAAATTTAGTTGAGCTGCCTGAATTTTGAATACTGAAATGTATATATCCAAGTTCTGATCTTTCACACTTCTTCAGCATCTTGATTATTGCATCATTCAGACAAAAATACACTTCTGTCTGAATTTAAAGACATTACTCTGCATGTGATCTGCTTTTTTAAAAAAGCTTCTTGATATGGATCCTCATCTATCTTTTTTTTAAACAGAAATTCAATTTTTATTGAAGATATTTACATAACTCTTATCATGCTCAAAGAGATCCCACTCTTTTTATCACTAGATCAGATGAAGTACTTGATTGACCAAATCGGTCATGCGAAACTGCATCCTATACAGCTTAAGAAGCCAAATACAGAAAGAGATCAATTTGTAAGTCTAATATACAGTGTAAACCTAAGGTCAAAAAGAATTTTGAAAAAAATCACAAGAAATAAAATCATGCTAGTAATAAGGGCTTCCACTTTTCATTTGTAATTTGACATTTTTTCATCAACATCTGGGCAACTTTCCAGAGAATTCTACCACATAAAGTTTCTCTTGAAATGCTTAGGCAAGTCACTATAACTTCAGATAATTAAATCTGTCAGATACTAAACCACCGGACACAACGTAAACAGAAAAATAAACTACAGCTGAGATAGAAGCTAAACTCACTAATTTAATGTATTGAAGCTGGAGGTATGACTCCATTCCAAAATTCTGACAGACACAGCAACTGAAATTGCAGGCTCAGTAGCAAGCATTTTACACAAAGCTAATTAGGTATTACCAGAGAACAGCAACCGTAGTGCCGACATTGAAGACCAGAGGGAGCAGAGACAAGATCTGGACAACTACAGACCTTAATCTTGGCTCAATAATATGCAAAGGTTTAGACCAAAGGTGTTTTTTTTTTTTTTTAAAAAAAAAAAAAGAGACAAATAAAAAATGTTGAAATAATGGGAAACAGTTTCACTGGACAATATAAACATACCAAACCATTTACATCACATTTACCTAAAAACAATTATCTACAGGAGTGCAGGTGTTCTCGGTATCTGGGCTTCAGTAATGTCCTTACTATAGCATCACAATGGGAAATTAGTAAATAAGCCATTATAACAGAATGGGATTTGGGCACTGAACAAGAAGCCGCAATGAACAATGTTGAGGGGTGCTGGGATTACTAGGGAGACTTTTTAAGGGTCAGAATGGGTGCATTTTATGACACACTCACAAATTTAAGGTGTAATAATTACATACATTTAGATACTATCAGTTTACATAAGCAGTAGAAAAACATGCAGAATGAACTGGATGATCTTGGCTACCAGAAAAAATGGATCAAAATTCAACAATATCTTAAAGACACTATGCACTGGGATTAGCAACATGAACCTCTATAAATAGAAACTCAGTTGATAATGACTGAGAGGAATGAGGAGGAACACAGCTTCATCAGAGAAAGTCTATATGCCATTAATTACTTTCTCATGGATGCAGTACAAATATTATTTTACTACATACCAAGTGAGGTGTTCCCAATAAAGTAGGATTAAGTTTATTTAGCCAGGCACTGGTGAAATCTCACCTAGAATATCCCAAACGCTTTTCTAATCATCCATGTTCAAGAGAGATGAACTCCTTGTGGAAAAGGTACAGAGATGAACTATTAGAATAAGAGCGGAATAGATGAGGTTGCCTTAATTAGTCTTGCAAATGGGAGGATTGGTATCTATAAATATAATTCAAAGAGAATTCCAGGAAGGGAGAAGATCTGCTTACATTAAACAATGTAATACCCAGAAAACAAGTGAATATAAACAGGTCATTGACAAAGGTGGGCTATGAATTAGAAGATGCCTAGTCACTAAAATCATAACAAATTTTTCAAAGACACTGTGAACGAAACCCAAACTGTTTAAGATTAATCCTCATATATTTTTGAAAGTAATTATAAAATACAGTGTTTACATTTAGAAAGCACTGATTTTGATGGCCAAGATGATAAATTCTAGCCTTTTGGTCACAGGTAGTTAATTACATTCAAAGATGTAATACCATTCCATCATCAAAGAATGCAAAGCAAGTGAAATAAGAGATGAAACCTTATTCTTTCTTTTTTTTTCAGTGTATTTCTTTGTATGAAACTGATTAGGACAGTCAAATCAAGAAGAACCGCAAATTTGAGCAGTAATCATTTTATCATTCAAAATAGAATAATTAAAACAGCATTTTGAGATAAAGTTGTTTCTAAAAAGACGTTAAAAAAATTTTTTTTTAATATCCAGTAATAAATCCACTTAAAAAAAAAATCCAAGGAAAGGTAGATACATTGGCCTGGATCTGTCCTTACCACAATACAACCTTCGAACAAGTTAGGTAAAAAAATCAAAATGTCCAAGAAGCACCTCAGTGTGCCATCTTCATTTCATTGCAGTGACAAACATCAAATTTTTTTGAGCAACCATGAACCTTATGCTAACTTACAAAAAAGAGGAAACATGTTACTTCATAGGGCCATTTCTTTTAACACTATTTCAAAGAAACATTTTTAATCACAAGCAACTTATAACCTACTTCTAAAGTCATAACAAAATTTAGCCTAAAAACCAAAGTGACATGCTGCTAATCCAAACAAATCTCTGTCTTCTAAAAAAATAAAATAAAATCACAAACGACTTACTCAGAAGTTTCTTAATATATAAGGAGCTTTTATAAACCCCAGCTAAAACAAACACCATTATTACATTCACCTTGAGACTCACATTGAGATTCTTAGAAGGTTTATGAGGTATTGCTAACCTAAAGGGAAATAAATTTCCCTGGGGAGTAACCTAGAAAACCTTTATGGTTCAAGTTAGTAAAATCATTCACATAATTCCCATACCAGGATTTATTGGTTCCTCAAAAGTCGTAAGTCTAGGTATAGCAAGGACAACAGGAAGTTCTTTTGTTCCTGTAACAACCACCATTCCTTTGGACTAGAAATTAATTTCCGTGTTTTTGCATGGTGAAAATCTACCTGCAAACCATGAGCAATTTTTCCAGAATTCATTTGACTTTGACAGAAAGTACTTTCTTCACTAATCAGAAAATGTCAGAGAAATTTTCAGACCATGCACACATTTGATTCACATTTTTTGTTAACAAGAACTTCATACCTATGTGAAAAGCTTGGGAATCCACAAATAATTAAAACTTCTTTATATGTTTCTTGACCCAGACCCCACAGAAATCAGGGTCACAGTAACTAAAGATGGCTTTAGCACCAGAATTCCATGTATCAAGTTAATCAAAGTTAAATAACAGGACCGGATGACTAGAGGTTTCAATTCGATGAACCAAAGGGTAAGTTGCCTCTTTCTATGCTTCTTTCTTTCAGTAGCCATCTAGTAAATGCTTGAAAAATAGCCTTCATTAGGGCTAAAAGCCATGGCTAATAACATTTAGAAAGAATAAAGCAATACAATTTGAAATATTAAGGCAATGTGTGTTTTAAAAGCAAGGGGAGAGAGAGAGAGAGAGAGAAAATTTGACTCTAATTTTTCTTTCCATAGCCTCAGAAGCCCTTTTTTATAACAAAATTTCTTTCCTATTCAGGTGCGTTCACAGCAATACTTCTATCACTTCCTAGGTCTTTAAACTTTGGATTCTGAGCTGCTAAAGTCCTGAAAAAACTAGTCATTCTTAGTTCAAACCACCATCTGGAATTTTATGGTTAAAAGTGATCCTACAGCTGCAAAACTGTAGATAAATGCTACAGCTGACACAGAATTCAGGAAAAATAGCCACAAAATTCATTTAACTTAGAAGGGAGGGGAAGGAGGGAGATGGGATGAGGTAAAATGAAACATGAGGATTATCCACAGCAGAAAGGGTTCATATAGACCATGTTCTGCAAAGCACTGCAGGTGCCAATAATCCTTCATCATACAAGTAGACTCACTGAAATCAATGGGTTCCCACAGTAATACCCTATATTGTTACAAGTTTACTTTATATTTGACGCAAGTGAAGCACATTTTCTCTAACAAGCTAGATTTCTCACTAGTATGTGATAAAATTATAATCTCAGAAAGGAGACATAAAAACTTCAGAATAATTCAATTCAGATCCATAATAACTGCCAGAGAAATACGCGCTTTCTGGTACTCAAAGCTTATCACCATGGTATGAAAGGTTTGGGGTTTTTTTTTCTTTGTTTGTTTTATATATGCTTAGTTATAGTCTGTTTTATTAATACTCCACAAACATAGGTTTAACATTAAAAAAATTTAAAATAGGAACAAGTTCTACATTTCAACCATAAGGCCAGCAATAGAATCCACCAGAAAGAAAATTTTATTCTACACACTAAATCATCGACCCCTCTTCATAATTAAACTAACCACAACAATAGGTGACAATTAATATTGGTACTTCTACTTCAGACCAAATAAGCAGCAAATAATGAAGAAGTGAAGAAGCAAATAATTCAAAGTTCCAGTAGACACAGTGAACGAGCATGCAGAAAACAAGAACTACATATTTTTGTCGTCAAGAAAAAAATTTCTCTCTGCGGCATTAAAGAAAAAAACTTCCAGAAATTAACTTTTTTTAAAAACTGGCCTTTAATACTTAACAAATCTTATAATATTGTTGTGAAATATCATTCTAAGATGAGAGTTTTATAGTAGTTTTATACAGTTCAATCAAATTTTTCAGTATGAATAAAGCACATCATTGTGCTCTTCCTCTTATTCCCATTCTCTTTTATCCTTTTTCAACATCATTATAAAATTTCAACACTACCATCAGAGATAATGCCAGGAAGCATAAGAATCCTCTGAGTTTTGAATGGATTTCCCCAGCCCATAAATCTGCTTTAATAGTGTTTATATACGTATGCATACATGCAAAAAAAAGAATAATTTTTTTTAAATTTATTATGCCTTAACATATAAATATTATTTTGACATTTGTATTATGTATTCTGTGATTGCTTAAATAACTGAGAGACTCAGATCAATTCTACAGAAAACAAATAAAAATAGTAAAATATTATCATTCAAATTAGTGGGCATATAAATATTCCTAAAAATGTATCAGAAGGTGTAGATTTTGATGGTGTTTTTTTTTTAAAATAATATCCTAGATGTACCATGTATAAGATTAAAAAAAAAAAGTCTCTTGGTTTATTTAATTCTAGCATTTAAAAGTCACCCCCTAGGAAAAGCTTACATTTCACAAGGGGAATCCCAGACAGACCTGGCAGGTTATTTACAAAAATTAGTGTTCCTTTTCCCTTATTTCCTCTAGTAGCAACATGTATACACTTTAGCGAGAGTCCTATATACAACGATGAACTAAGTTATTACAATTCAGAAATCAGAATTAAAGTATTACAGCAACTATAAAGAACCTTCAAAATAACTAAATTATTGTAGCAAGCACTGTTCCTTGTATTCTGGTTTGCCCTTTCTTTTTTTGCTCCACTTACTCTTTTTTACTCTATCTACTCTGTGGTAAAAACAGTAAGTCCGTGGTAAAAAAGTAAGTTTCATCACAACAATAACCACAGCATGGAATTTCTGGTTTCAACCTTTACCCCCTTTAGAGTACCAAGGCCAGGTACACAACAAACATAACCAAAGCCATTATACACCAAACATGTATGAAACGCTACTGCTTAACAAGAAATCTGATCTACATAATTTGAAGGGAAAAAAGATGAGGTTTTATTTATTTTGCAAAATACCTATTTTTCTTTCTGAAAACAGGAGTGTTCACTTAAATTTTATCAGTACATGATAAAAATGATTTGAAAGTGACTTACTGATGTAGTATTCTTGCACTATGCTTGTATAACCATATATGGCAGAATATCCAAAAATTATAATCATAACCACATCTCTGCTGTCCAGCTCTACTATGTGTGCTGAATGGCCCTCCACAGCATATTGTTGCCCATGTACAAGTACTGCAGGAGTTCTGGTACTCCATGTTTGACTGTGTATGTTGAAAATCCACAGCTCATCAGTAACATTGCCATTATTTGTTTCAATTTTACCTCCATACATGTAGATGTCTTCCTGTAAAAATTGAAAGGGAGAGAAGAGAAAGCAAATAATGGATTACAGAAAGATAACATCTGAACTGCATACTTCTGGGCTGCGTAATATTTCATAACTGAACAATCTGATCTAAATCTTCACACTTAATCTTACATTAACCAGCTCAATATCAGACACTAATCCCAGACAATGATATTTAAACTAAACCAATAATGATAAGGAGACTATTTCTCTGAAAAATAAACCCAGCCATGCAAATGACACCAAAATGAATCTCAACCGGATTATTTCAAGCAGAAAAACTTTAATTACATGGCTCTTCTAATTTATATTGCAGCATTCTACTAAAAAAAAGAAAAAGAAAAACAAAACAAAAAAACCCAGAAAGGGTATTATATTGTTTTCTTAAGGAATAGTTCAAAGAACCAAAATGTTATTTTCCACACACTCAGTCTATGGGGATTTCATTCAGCAAGTGCACAAAAGAGCACATTCTCTCTTAGTAGCAAAGTAACTTAAGTCCTGGGAAAATTCACAGCCATCAAAGCCCAAAGAAGAGGGAAGGGACAATGTGTGTATAGCACCTTCTTGGGCACATCTGCTAAAATCAAATCCCATAGAGGGGGACTTGGAGTTCTTTTAAAGGGATACAAAACAGATTTTCCAGTCTTCATGAACCACATACCTCAAACAGCAACACCATCTGTTTTGATAAGTAATGAATGATTTACTCAAATATTGACTGAAAGCAAATCCTACTAAATCTTAGGCTTCACCTAGAGCTGCAAACCAAGGCATACAAAGTCACAGAACAAATTCCAGATTGTTGGCTTCACTGACTGGCTCAAGGACAGTCTATCCTGGGTAGAAAAAACTGCCTTTGGTTCTCAGAATAATGTTTAGTCTTTGCTAGGACATGCCAGAACCACATACACATCAAGAAAGATGAACTCAAACTGGCAGGCATGTAAAATATAGATGATTAGTAGAATGATAGGCTATTTAGTCCAGCAAAACAAAAGCTTGAGAGGGTTATAATGCAGTCTATACACCTACAGTTGATGGCAAACTACAACAGAGTCCAGGACCACACAAACAACTTCCTCATTACTCAGAGTTTAGTCAGTAAATGACTGACCAAACTGTCTGACCTGTCTCCAAAAGCATATTTGAAATTTCTACAAGATTTACAACTATTTTTTCATTTGAGGCAGGTAAGCATTTCTTGGTTTGGAATTTAAATCATTCCTATGCAGTGATACTCTGTGCTGCCAAGTAGTTTGGACTGGTGGTGTTTGAGCAAAAGACATTCACATCCTTCAGTAGGAATTTGTAGTAGGATTAGACAGAGATATATACCTGAACCCATTTTTTTCCTAGGAGATAAAACAACATTTCAAAGAGCTTGGTGAAGACCCACAAAAGCTGTAAGGAGGTTGTGCACCAATGCAAAGGAATGGCTTGAACAAATATTCTTCATAAAGGATCCGACATAGCTTATTCATTACACTGCCACACAGGTCTCAAAAGGCAAGTTGGCATCACGAACATAGCGGACTATTTATTTATTTTTAAATGCAGATGACAGACTACAGTAGGAAGAGGAAGCTGATTAGAGAATTGCAGGTGCTGTATAACAGTATTTGAAAAAAAGATTTCTGACACTGAGGAAAGATACTACATAAAAAAAAGGTGACCTAAAGAGCTGCAAGAACTTTGAAACGATTACTCAGACAGCTGACAGTAAGAAAGTCCTCCTCACAGTTCTGCTTAGATGATTCAAAGTTCAGATAAAAAAACACTTCTGTGAGGAGCAATCTTTATAAATGACACAGCAGATTCTGTACACAAGACTATTCACAGAGAAAAAGACAAGAAGGTCATGACAACTGCTTTATCAGTCACAAAAACAGATTTAACTAAGCTTCGCTCAGGGCTATTTCTGAGATTAAGAAGCTTCTAGGGCTGCTGAAAAACACTTTAAAAGTTAGTGATGATCAGCTGAACACAGAGAAAGAAAGGCACACAGACCAAAGCCAGCAGAAGAATTATATAATGAAAAAAAAAAAAATGTTAGATGCATATTATACAGGACAAAAACCAATGCCCTAGGCATATAAAGGTGGACATTTATCTGGAAAGCCTAAACAGGAAGAGATTGTAGGAAGGATACAAGTGCAAATGATCCTAAGCACCCCAAAGATTGTGAAAGAAAAGAAGGAATCCCCTTACCAACTTACACTACCTTTATAACTTACTTATAAACTAAGTATAAATCAACGTATATGCTAAAGTGATGCTGTACTTCAGTTGTCTCATGTTCCTGACTTCCAAGGCTGCATACTAGGTAATTCCTGAAAAAATCATGCCCCAACAGTATCACCTAGCTTTCGCATATTTAACAAGACTTCAAATCCCTTCACAGAGGAGCATTTTACAGTGAGAACAAAACTGAAACAGAGCAAGGAAGTTACTCAACAAGACCACCAAAACAGCAAGTCAGAGCACCCACTTGTCTGATAAGTCCCAGTCAACAGACTATACAGCAGACCAGAGTAACTCCTCTACATACTTCACATTGAATTCTGAACAAAGAGAAGGCCAAAATCATTAGTTCCTTTGACCTTGGACAGGCTCTCTTTTTTTACCACAGCTCAGTGTTAATATTGACTTTATATTTCATATAAATGCAGTAATTCAAGACTTTTCTAACACTTATTATATATTTATTCTTTAGACTTTGCAATTTTTCTTTCTTCCTAAAAGAACAATACTTATCAGTTGCTCTGACTGTACCTGGGAACGCTACACTGTTATGCAAATCCTGGCTGCATTCCAAAAGAATCTTACCTGCTAGTTACCCAAAAAAAATGTAAAGGAAACGCAATACGGGGGTAATTTATAATCCATTTCTAATGAATTAGAAGTAAATTCATCACATTAAAATAAGCATGTAATTTTCATTTTGTATTTCTTAACTGTATCATGGCCATATAGAAAAGTTTCTCTCTCAGAAATTAGTTTTCTGCCTTAATTCTTACATAAAGCCAATCTGTTCCTGAAAATTTTGGCCAAAGAAAAGCTACTCACAAACCACATGAAGAACAGTCATTCTGCATTTTCTTGAAACAAGACTATCAATCTGTTTTCATACCATAGACTGTACCCATTCATTAGTATATAAGTTAACTTTATGCAAACTAACAGGTCTTAAAAATTCATCAGAACTTTTGTTCTCTGTACTTAGCCGAAATGCCTAAAAGTTTAGTCAAATCTGTACATAATCAAGAAATGTCTGGATATTTTTTTCAAGCAAAATGTACATAAGACAAAAAAAGTCATCTGGCAATAACTCGTCCATTACAAGCTCATTTTCTGCATTCAATACATGCCACTTGATTTAGGACTAACACCTCCTCTTCCTTTCCCCAGACTATTACCTCCTTTAATATGGTAACAACATCAAGAACATTCTTTTATGTGTTACAGTAAAAGAAAAAAATGAATAATCAACATCTCTACTTGATCCAATAATCCTCCCATTAGATCAGGACTGACAAATTGGAAAGCAGTCTTCACTTAACTCTTCCTCCTGCAGCCTGCTTTATTATTCTTGGCTTATTGTGGAAGTATATCCTCACTGAATAAGAACCTGCTAAGTTACGCAAGGAGCATATTATAATCTAAGCTTTCCAACAGGACCAAATGCAAATTCAAGACAGTATATACTGCAGCAATTTGTATGTCAGGAGATTAGCCTAATCAAGAGTGCTGTCATTTTATTTCTTCATTATTTTCATTGTTTCTGGCTATAGTTAAAGGTATTAATTCATCGAATGATTCGATTAAGTCAGTTCCTATACATCTTAAAAGCCAATAACTTTTTTCCCTGGACTACAGCAGCATTCAAAACAGCGGAGAGGAAAATAAGGTAGTGTGTTTTTGGAAAAAAAAAAAAAAAAAATGAAATTTATTTGTTCGCGTGAACATCCCTACATTTAACAGAAAACTAGGATGAAGAAAAGCAGGCAAATAAAACTATGTGAACAGAGCTTTGAGACTGCTGAAGGTATAAGCTGGAATTTTAGCACAAGTGTCAGTCTGATCTTTCATACATTTAATATTTGGACTGAACACATTGGAAGGAAGGGAGAACTTATGGAGACTGCATAGAAAAGTATTAACCAGCCATCTGCTTTGAGATCTGCCAGACATAAAAGCGATCATGCTTACACCTCAACTTTCAAACCAATTGGAACATAATGTTGAAACAATGAATGAAAAATACTGCACTTTTACATAACGGAACCAATCTCTTGATGAGTAAGGTCCACTTAACTGAAGAGGAACTCTAAATAGGCTTTTATCTAGACTACATGCAAAAAGTGTATGACAGCACATCTTACCTACTTCTCATGTACTTCTGAGGTCTGCAAATCAGAATTAGAAAGCAAGTTGTGCATAAGATGTAAATGAAAGTCATAAAATAATAGAACTATGCAATTGGTAGCACAACCTGTTACTAACTATTAATATACTAGTTAGAAAATAATTTTACATTCCTAGTGCTTTTCCAAATAATACTACAATAGTCAACAAAAATAGGCATTAAAAGAATAACAATAAACCAATTGGTGAAAGATTTTGTCTCACTCATATTAAAGCAGAAAAAGTTTTTACTCTTATTTGTTCTGTTAATGCTAGCTTTTGATTAGACTAATAAAAATACCAGAAGAGATATACAGACTCAACATCAATACCAATTAATTTGGAAAAGGAATCAAATAATTACCCTTTTTTAATAAAGCTTTAAAAATTGGAAGTAACATTCATAAAACTTAAATGAGTCAAATTAAATTTGACTATGTATAAAATGGTCCGTATACTGGAAAACATCTTTACAATTAGTACTATGTCAGCCGGCCTGTTTGCTTCATTCCTATTGCCAGTCTCAAATGAAACAAATCTCAATGCCCATCATCCTTCCAGTGTCTTGGGACCACTAGCAACAGTTTAATTACAAGGTCAAATTCTGTGTTACAACTACAAGCTCGCTACCAAGTAAACTCCCAGCAGTGACTATATAAACACCTTGTATGCAATTCCCTTTCTACTTTATTCCAGGGATCTAGCATTTTCCTGTTTACTGTCTAACTCCCTATCTAGTCACTGTATAGCAAAGTTATATGTACCTACTTTAAAAACCTCACAAGCCATTTCCTCCAGTCTCTTTCTAATCCTATTTCTTATATGAATTATTTCAAAGTATGTTGACATTTTTCAGTATCAAGATGCCAGGAACTATATACAATCTCTGAGACACAGGAGAACCAATTGCTAACAGATAGGTAGCATCTTTCCAATAACCAGTCTGAAGAGGCACTGAAGGTAATACTATCTAACAGTTTAGTTGGTCTAAACGCAAGAACACTTTTATACTCTCTCTTTTATAAATGCATAAAAAGTCTTAGTCACTTGTTATAACTATACATCAGTGGGAGTCTTCTGTTCTTTTTTTCTTCAGAATAAAGAAGTACAGTACTTCAATTTTAACTAAAGAAGCTTTCCGAGAGAAATGGGCACAGTAACTTATTTCATTCTCCACAGAGTCAATTATATAGCTTCAATTTACCTTGCACCACAATCAGGCAATACTAGCTCTGTGCTCTCACTCCAGTCTAGCGCTAGGCTTTGAAATCTCAGGAGCTCAAGTCAAAAATTTAATCTAATTTCTTCTCTGTGGATATTTTTTCCTCTCAGCTATAAAGTAAACGTTACACAATGACTAGTACACAGCTCAAAACACAGCTCAAAGCTGCCATCTCTAGGTATTATGTTCTACTACTCTTGACACTAAATTATTTTTCTGTTTTTTTTTTTTCAAGAAAATTAACATCTGAAAGGAAAAATACTGAAAGTTTATCCTAACAAGTTAATTTAAGAACTTATTGTAAAAGGATGTACTTTTTCTCTTGAAATTTCTTCAACTTAACATGATTCGCTCCTTTTGGCCCACGTAATTTTTGACATTTGACGTAATCACTAGTACAAGCAACATATTAGTTAATTATTTGACATAAGTGGTGCAATGTTCATTATTAGCGAATTCTAATTAGTAATTAACACATGCCTTTGATAACAGCAACAGGTTCTTCACTATAAACTTGCTTGTAGCTTTCATGAATATTAATAAGAGTTTCATTTCCTCACTGAGATACAAAAAGATCTCTGAATTAAAATAGGTCTATCATATGTAATATTTGCTGGTAAAAGTATCTCTAAAACGGTTACCCTTTAGTCTGGAATATCTCAAGAAAATATTCGCACTGTCAAATAAAAAGGTTAAATGATATTTTAAGCCTTTATTCTGAACTGCTAAATGATACATTACTTGAATGTTTCCCAACGAAAAAGGTCCACATTCTACAAGAATTGTAATAACCAAAGATACCAGTCAGAAAGACCTGACCTTTCAAAGAACAGATAATACATTAGTAATGAATCAGGGAACTGACTTGAAGAAAAGCAATTTTTGAGTTGATGTTGGGGCATGCAGAGAATCTAGTTCGTATTACTACTGAAAAACGCCTCTACAACATTAACCATGCCATGTACAGATTCAACATCTCTGGAAGAGCAACAGATACCAGGGGAAGAAAAAAAAAAAAAAAGAAAAAAGAAAAACCAAAAAAAATTTCCACTCACACCCACAATTCTGCTTAACTTCAAAAGGAACACTATATAAAAGCAAGACCAATCATAAAAAGAAACTAAAAGGTACACCTAAAAGGACAAAATCTTTAATGACATTATGAAGACATTTTAAGGACATCTGCTCAGATCACATGAATGCTTCCTATTTAAAAAAATAACAAGATTTCCCATTACAAGTAACAAAATAAATAAAGCTTAACTTAACAGGAGAATAACGGAGACAGTTAGAAGAAAAAAGTATACTTCAAAATAAGGTTCAAAAACTCCAGCAGATTAAAATTCAGAGACATATATAGGCAAGCCATGAAAGACTTTAATGAGTTGCCTGCAAAATTACATATAAAGCACTAGTACATCATTTTTCAAATGCATTAGAAATACAGCCAACTAGATAATTTGTGGTGCCAACAGACAGTCTGAAGGAGTATTCTGAGAAGATAAAGCCAAAGCAATAAAATGAAGTTAATTTTCCCATGTGACTTCTTCATGGTAGACTTTACAGATATTTCCATCGCAAAAATTAGTAACAGAAGGTTATAGTAAAAAAAAAAAAAGAAAAGAAAAAAAAAAAAAAACACAAAAATGTCAAAACAATCAGCAACAAGTCACCAGAATCAGTTCTGAAGGAATTTCAGAACAAAACAGCTGACCCGTCTGTAGTGTGTAAATCCCTCCTTAAAAATATGTCAGTACCAAAAGACTGAAAAGCAACAGGCAGAAAGGACAGAATTCAGTGAATACATGGATAAGACAAACAGACTGAGGAAAAGTTTAACAACTTTTGAAAAGGGAAGTTATATCTTGCTAATCATTGGATTTTCCTGAAGGAACCAAAGGTCTGGTTGACACAGTTACCTGGGATTTCCAAAAGATGTTTGATAACGTTCCTCATGCCTTAAAGAAACTAAGATGCTCTGGGACAAGCAAGGCAGATAACACAATGCTAAACAATTCAATACAGAAAAGTTTGGGGAAAAAAATGGTCAGTTCTTAAATGAATAGAGGTCATTAGTGGTGTCCCACAGAGATGTACAATTGAGATTTGTTTGTTCCACATACTGAAAAACAATCTGACACAGGGATTAATGGACAAATAACAATGTTTTTGACAACACTACGTTACTCAAAATAGCTGAGGCAATGGTTAAAAGCAAAGAATTCCAGAAGAATCGCATAATACAGAGCGTGCAATAAAAGGGTAAATAAATGTTCACATAGATAAGCATGAAGTGATGCATATGCATAAAAACCAATTTTAAGTCAGTACATACAGTGGTGGGTTTTGAATTGACTAGATTGAGATCTTGAGGTTATAACATAGTTCTGTGAAAATACCAGTTCAAAGCCAACAGAAGATTTTCAAAAAGCTAAAGTGCCATTACGAATTAACAGGAAAAAATTAGACCATTAGTTCTATGACATCAATCTCTGAAGTACCAATACACTAAAGACTGTGATTCCCCTTATCTCAGAAAGGATAGAACAGAAACAGAAAAGGTAGAAGCAATGACACAACATTATCTAAGGTATGAAATACCCTCCTTCTAAAGGATTATTAAAAATGCATGGAATTTTCAGCATGAAAAAAAATTACAGAGAGAGGATATGATGAACTTACAGAAAATTATGAGTGGTACAGAAAAAATAAAAGGAAAATAATATAGGAAATAGGGATTATCAAAATTAGACCAGCTAGCACCAGACTCCCAAAAGGTGGTATTTCTTCAGAAAATACACTGGAATTCTTAGGCATAGGATGGTATCAATGCTAAAATAAATATATAGTCTGAAAATTTGGAAAAAATAAGAGACATGGATTCATGATCTTTCCACAAAAATACTACTCTATCTTAGAAAATCCCAGCTGCAGACTAGGACAGTATTCTGAGGAAGCGTCTGTATGTTCTTGACATTTTTTCTTACATTCTTCCCTAGGCATTTGCTTTTACCCATTATTCAAGACATATTACTGGGCTAGACGAACACTCTGGTCTGACTTGATACAATCTTTTTTTGTTCTTCCTACTGGAGGTGTCTTACGCAAACAGCTGAAAATTTGTGATACAAATTCTGTATTTCTCTGTCACAGTTAACAAGCTTGCCATCATCTGTACAAGGCTAAATTATGCACTGCGTTCACTTTTGGTCCTTTATATTTTGAAGACGTGACTAACATTAGCCAAAAATTAACAAACTAACAAAAGGTAACTTTTTTTTTTTTAATAAAGATCATTTATGCCTCTATATTCTATCAGTAAAAGGAATGTTTTTTTCTCTCTTTGTTTTTGGTGAAATAAGCCTTTAAAAGTGCTTTCAATAAAGCAGCATGCAGACTATGTGATACCAGTCAAAGTAAAACTGCCAGCAGTTTGTATTTATTTGAATTTACAGTAAAACAGTACTATAGAACAACAGTTTGTATTTTAGTGCTGCTCTGATTCTGTAGTAAGAGTAATAACTCATAAATAAAAATTTATTTCTTATTGTCGTGGCCTTTAGGGCATTAACAGGCCTTAATAGCGCCGACCAGTCTCACCCGGAGCTCAGCCATGGATGCTCAGTCCCTGGACTGCCTGTAATCCTGCCTCCTGGATGGATCTGGACCTGTGCTATAGGTAGCTTGTCTCCCGATGGACCCCTCAGGCATATGTTGTAGCCTTCTCTCCAGTCCTGTCTCTGGTCCTGTCTCCTTGTGCTCCTGATTGGTGTCCCTGAATAGTCTCTGGACCTGGGTTATCGCTTGCCATGTCTGGGGCTGTCAAAGGACCCTGCTACCAGCACCTGGCTCTGCCTGCTGGGCTCAGCCCTTGGGGACAATGCCTGGCCAATGAGGGCACTGACCACACTGGAGTCATCCTTGGCCCCAAGCTCGCCTTCCCTTATCACAATTCCAACTATATTAGCCCCCTTTTATTGGCAGGTTTAGCTCTGAGGGTTTATGGTCAGCTAATAAGTGACTTAGATCTATCGCACAATCTTTTTTCAAAAAACTGTGCAATACATCTAAGTACTGAAGAAGACACTAATACAAAATATTTAGTGACTAGAAATTAAGTTATCCTCAAAAATCTATGTTCATGATGAACTGTTTTAAGATCACTAACAGCACACACAAAGAAATTCATTAAACAGGATGCTGAAGAGTCCAAACCTGATATAAAGCAAGAGTGTGTCCATATCTCTGGAGTGGCCCTTTGGATACAGGTACTACGTTCCATATACTGCTTTCCAAATTGTAGCTAGAAAAGAAATAGAAAAGTAAAAATTTTCTACCTGCAGAGAAATACAGGGTTTTGTATGTTTAAACTAACTTCTGTTTGGCAGACTTGGTCACTCACTGTTTATCCGACATGGTAATCTGCTAGCAGCGGTAACATGATCACTTTTACCTGTTACAGTGTACTAACTTGTGATAATGTACTAAATGTTCACCAAGCAAAACAGGAGCAGCTCCTTCAGGGACCCATCAACAATCTCAGAAAATGGAATTGTAATAAAAATCACCAGACTTAAAGTTATGAAACTAGGTTGTTAAGCTTACTGTTATTAAGCCATATAAAAAAACATCCCACTAAACTGCTTATATTACAATCTTTTGCACTAATTTGAAGACATTGTTGAGCACCCTCTCAGCTATATGGTTGATTTTAATTCCCATTAAATCTTAATTAACAATTAATCCATTAATGCATTAACACACAACAAGATGGAAGAGAGATAAAAAATAAACAACAGAGGCGGAATAGAAAAACACTGAAGATGATGGGATTTGTTTTGAATGACTGCAAAATGTGTGGAAGAAAACAAGACATAGACAAAAATAGGAGAAAGAAACATATCCTAACACTTGCATTTGCCACATTTAGGGCCTCTACATACATACAAGTTACCATCCCAGTTGGTTAGGTAATATTTACAGCTGATTCGATTTTGTTTTCAATAGGTGCTCAAATACACATACATAAAAACCGTCATAAATATAAAGAAGTGAAATACGGATGACCTGCCTAACCCTGCTGGCATTGCACCAACAGGCTAAGTGTATGCATCAAATACAAGTCTCCTATAATTATAAGTTAACTGCAATAATGTAGATTGCATTCTAGATGTACTGTCTGAAAATATCAGCACACAGATTTTTTTCACTGTTTTATCATCACAAATGTTTTTATGTTTTGCAGCAAAGTATAGTAACAGTTTTCTCAAAACTGAAGAAATTACATATTAGTATCACACATAGTTTGATGATTTTTCACGTCTTTTTAATCCTAAAAAAATTACAAGCAGAAAATAAGACCGTTAATAAAGAACCTAAAAACATAGGTTTTTCCATTAAATTGCAGGATAGAGGCTACCTCCCCAGCAAGATCTGTTTTCCCTAACCCGCATCAGAAAGGATATGACACTGGAGAAATCACTTACTTCAATACCATTTGGAATGAACTGTAGTTAAAAGCGTAGCCACCAATCACCCACATAAATTTCCCATGTAGGACTGCCTTATGGGAAGCCCGGCCCACAGAAGGGCTGAAGGGCTTTACGTTTGGTAGAATCCAGTAAGACTCCGTGGAAGGGACGTTCAGAGAACAGTCTGGACCTGTTTGGTAAACAAATGTGCAATTTGTACAATCTGTTAGACAGGAATGTTAAAGCCAACAGAGCAGAAACAGGGGAGGCTTAATTACAGATGTCAGGATTGCTCATTCTGATAAAATACAGTATACACTTTTATGTTTAACAGATGCTCAATGAAAAAAAATTGGCAACAAGGGATGTCAGTCAAAGCTTTAGATTAACTCAAATAATAATGATCCATTTCTGTATTCTACTCAGAAAACATACTGTATGAGTCACAATTTGAAAGAAAGGCATAATGCATCATATATTTAGACACTGTATAGGACTAAAATGTGTAGCACAATATACACTGCATGTTACCTCTGGAGAAAAACTACACTGTATTTGAACTAACCAGAATAAGCTTATATCAAAGCAAATAACATTAGAGTAAATTAAGTTACAATATAGATTACATTAAATCTCAGGAATAAAAATTTGCCTTTTGCCAATGCCATTCTGCATCATCTTTCAAGAGTAAAACACTGTAAAGTGCTTTATAAAAAGAATGATTTGAGTATTTAAATTTTATAGATCATTCTACCAAAATGAACTACCAAAACCCACAACTATATATTATTTTGGAATGTATTTTAGCCAATAATTTTTGCTAAATAAGGAAAAGTCAGTAAAATGCATCATTTCTAAGTTACAGGACTATTACAAACATAAACAGCAGAAATATTTATTTATTTTTCATTTGTTCTGTAATAACTAAAATGTGATCTCTTCATCATTACTTTATGCTCTAGATGTTGGAAGAACTTTAAAATCTTTTAAAGCCTGAATATATTCAGAACTCTGCTTAAAAAAAAAAAGGAACAGCATATGCATTATGTGCCTCTTGTCAGTGACTGAACATGATTATGACTGGCATTATTTCTAGATGGGGAACACTGAATTTTTAGGACACCAATGTGTTCTACTTTAAGCATTATCAATCACAGAACTGAAATTTTTGTCATTAATGATGGCATACAGATGTACGACAGCTCAATTATTTCTGTAATTTGATACTGACACTATAAGCAATGTCTGGTCCCTCACAGCCTGCCTAACTGGGATAAATCCTTCCCTCGAGCTACTGGACATTACTAAAAACCAAAGCTCGTAAAGTCAGACTGGGTATAACCTTCTTTGGAAACTTTGTGATAACATGGGGGGGGGGGGGAACC